AATTGTTTTAAGCAACTTAGGCAATTTAGGAAAAGAAAACCCACTTGATGATGCTAGAAACACTTTTCTTTGGCTTTTTAGAGTAGGAAATGTTCATTCCACATTAACTTGTGTGAAGGAAACAAAATGACAAAATATCATAGTTACAATAATTTAATGACAATTTGCTTTTCAGTTTTGTAAACCACATCTAGACAACAGAATGGATAAAAATATTGACAGTTGAGATAATGTAGAGGTGCAAATGGAGTAGACAGTACGTGGGGGCAGAAGTGGGAAAGAGCAGGAAGGGTGTGTATCGAGTGTTAATAACTTCAACTTGCACAGAGGAGAATGAAGACACTAACATGACTGAACAGCAAACAGAGGTATATGCATCTGATTTAAAAACAAAAGTAAATAATAATATAACCATCAAACATAATATAAAACATACAAGGGAAAGGAATTACGATGAGCTGCAATGTCTGCTTTCATTGCAGGGAATGAATGGACCTTAACGAAATCTAACTAGACAAAGGGGCGTTGTCCTGTAGCTTCATCATTTCAACTAAGGCTGAGGACAATGGGAATAAACTTCTCTAAAATCTAAACTGAGAAGTTAGCACCCATCCAATAGGACTTACTAAGAGTAAAAGTTTTGTCCTGAAACCCTGACCAGAAAATTTATACTTCTATTTATTGATTTTTTAGTAAGCTAGTATGGGCTGGACTCAATAGGGAAAACCAGGACATAGCCCGACTTTCTCCATCATTGCTTGTCCAATTTTCCCCTCATCTTCTTGTTTAATATTTTGGTTAGATCTCATAACTTTTACAGTTAATTTCAAGAACTAAAACAGTCTCATTTTTATGTATTAAAAAGCCCTATCCTAAAATGTTAGTCTTTCATCCAATTCAAAGCTTCTTTCCTTCCCACACACATAAACATACACAAGTGATGAGTGCTTTTCAGCAGACTTTACCTGCTAGGCAAGAAAGTTAAACTTTCAAAAACATTTTTAGTCAACTATAATAAGTCAAATTAGAACCCTCAGAGCAACATTTCCACATGCTGGTATTTAGAGCTTTGAGAAAAACAGCTGCCTCTTTACCCAATTGCTTTAAGAGAAAGGCTATCTGCTTACAAGCCCTCGCCCCCTACAGGGGTTTTCAATCAGCTTTTTTTTTTTTTTTTTTTTTTTACTTCATTCTTAAATAACAGAGTAAGCTAAGGATCTGTGAAAATTTAAAGAAAGCCTCAATATGAATGACGAAGATCAAGACAAGCAAATTTTAAATAACCCTAAAGACAACAGAGATAATTCAGTGAACACAAAATAACATTACAAAAATTCTAACTAAGAGTCTCCAGGAAATGCAACTGAACAACCAGACCATGTTGGAACAAGAGCATAACAGACTTTTACTGAGAGATCTCTAGAAATAAAGGGAATCTGATAGAATCACTTACACTGAGGAATTTGAGAAGAGATTGATAGTAGGTTAAAGAGGAGGAGAAAAGAAAGACAATTAGAAACTCCATTTAAAAGGAAAACCTGTACCAAAAAAGGATATGTAATTACACTGTTTATTTGTAGTTAACAATATTTTATTGTCATAGTACCTACCCTATTATTGATTTTCAACTTTGAGAATCAACTCATTCAGAGGATATGATCTAACCCTCAAAAGACAAACACCTAATACTTAATACTTGCCAAAGTCTTGGCTCAAAAGGCCTTTTATTTTTTTCTCACACATGGCCATTTTTTATGTACACATAATTAATATTCTCATATGTTATGGAAAATTTTCAAAAGTGTATGTACCAAAATGTAAATTATGGTTATCTAAGGGTGTTGAGATTTGGGGGCATTTTTATTTCTCCATCCATTTCATTTATCATTGTTTTTTAGATTTTCATACGTGGGAGTTGAGAATCACCAATGATTCAGTGAATCATCATTTATCTATCTGAACTTTGAAAACCTAGCTCAGGGGAGCATTTGGTGAAAAAGTTATGTGATCTTTACACAGAGAAACAGTTGATTAATTTATTGGTTTTTGGGTCAGAAATAATAATACCAAGAGTTTTATCTCCCCAAAAAGTTCTTATATTTTCATAGGACATTTTTAGTTTTTGAAAAGTCTGAACATGCAGGATTTTATATTATCCTCCAAACAGTTTTGTAGGGTTGGCAGGTTAGGTTTAATAATTTCATTATACAGAAATGATAATGTAGGATGTAGAAAGCATTTGTCTGATGAGCATTGATTAAGTACAGGACCTTTGGTGTGATATTATTTTAATGTCATGATAACCCTAGAAGATAGCATTATGGTCCCCATTTCATGAAGGAATTATTGAAGCTCAAATATCATAAGTATTTGACCAAGATCAAACTCTGATATCTTGTGCAGAGATGTCCGGGGATTTGGGGATTACTCTGAGCTTGCCGTGAACAAATGGGTGTCTGAATCTCCAGCCTTTGAATCTGTGGTGTGCAGAGAGGTGTATTTCTTTTTATTCAAAAGAGCAGTGAATCTATCTCCCTCATTTTCTCCACTGAGAACATGGGAATCAGAAACCCTTGGCTTTTCCAGGATATTGAATGTACTATGAAGTACTGGACAAAGTGTTCCTCTTAATGCGCTGGACAGAAAAGCTGGCCATCTCCTGGACATTTAGTGACCCAGGACTCTGTTCCACTGACTGCAGTCTCCTTGCCCATGTGTAAAAAGATGTCAGCCAAAGGGAAGAACTTATAGGCTGTAAGACTCTAAAATAATTTTTTTTTCTGTAATACTATTCCCCCACCAACCTTAGAAGAGGTGGGTGGAATACTCCTATCCTATCATCTAGCCCTATCAGTCTTAATATAAAATATCACCAAATATTTCTTTCTCAGTTTTCAAAATCAGAGGCAACCTACAACAACAAAATACCAACAACAACAAAAAAACACATCACAGTCCTGATGAAGACACAGGAGCACTTGCAAGATTCCCAGCAACTTGGCTATTATTCCTGTCTCCCTTGGGCCCCCAAAACTCCCAACTCTGAACAGTGATAATGACTCAGGCTCTCTGTGTTTCTGATTCAGATATTGCAAAAATAGTCTATACAGTCAATTAGAATCAAAAGACTCTTTCCATCCCCTCCTCTACCATCATCTTCATTGTCCATTACATACCATCCACAACAGGGTAGTGGGACAAAAGAAAAGAGAGGCAACAGAGAGAGTGAGAGATCTAAACTCAGAGAACACATAAAAATCAGCTTGTAAATGCTTGAAAAATGGCCATAGAAATGTTAAGAAGTATGTGATAGTAAATAATAACCTGACAATCAGGCTAAATTTTTCAAAAGCTGAGAAGCATATTGTCCACATGGACTGTGTGTGGTGTGCATATAAAGTATATGTAGTGTGTGCACAGCGTGTGTGTATGTGCGCCTATAAACTGAGGACTACCAATTAGCTTAGCAATGATAATGTAAGGCACAGAGTAAATCATTTGAATAATTCACTGGTCAGAGACAAAGGTGGAATGAAGACATTGCACAGGATACCCTTTTATACTTCCTGAATATTAGGCCATGTAAATGAAATACCTATTTAAAAATAAGTAAGACAAAAATTTAACAGTAAAAGAATACATGAATTTGCTAATACCTTCTAAAAATTAAAAAATAAAATAAAAATTTTAGAAAGCATTGCTCTTAGAATGCTTCTCCCTAGGCTGTGACTCCCACCCCACAGAGAGATGCTGCACAGACACAACCCTGTCTGTCTCACTGTGTGTCTCCCACGATGCAGTACTGCACAGCAGTGTCCCTCAGGGAAACCCAGGGCAGGCGCAGGGGCTGGACTTTCTGTCGGCAGGGATAAACAGAGATGCCGCTTCATTTCCATGTTTGTCTTTTATCCTTGAAGAACATATCATAGTCCCTGGTTGGGAAACTGTTGGTTACAGAAGATATACTCATTTGTAGCAACACTGGTGTGGCTACAGGATATGTTCACTTCTTGCCCTTCATGTGAGTCCACAGAGATGGGCTGGGTGGTCTTAGCAAGGCTCAACGTACCTATGGGAGTAAACACAATACTAGCTCCTATCCTGAAACCAAGGTTAGTTAGACGGCCCAGCACCCCCATGGTTCTCTCTCACATCAAATCCACTCCACACCCTTCTTTCCCACTATTACATACATATATAATTTATGTTTCATTTGTCTTTCAGGACAAATATATTCTCTATATTTATTCCAATAATGCCCAAGAACACATCTATGGAGGTGGCAGGTCTCCTTTCCCTCCCACGGATGGACCTTGGGGATCAGTAACCCAGAACATCTTTACTGCCCTGAGATACAACTCACATGAAGGTTTAGGAGCTGCCTGGAGAAAAATATGACCCCAAAACTGTGCCCCAACAACTTGGATAAAGAGCAATTGTTAGCAGGCAAGATTGCAGATTCCTGTCCAGCATCCTCAGGGCCAGATCCTAATTCCTCTTAAGCCCAAAATAACTCACCCAGTATCAGGAGCATGGTCACTCTTGTCACCTGCCTCATGTTCTAGGTATAAACTGGGATCCAGATTCTAGGCTGTTTTGCTGAGTCTGATCCTGGACTGGCATAGGAACCAAGGAAGTGAGGCATCCATGCTTTCCTGGCTGCACCCCGCCCTGATATCATGCATGCCCAACTGTGCCCCGCTTTGCTGCAATGACTAACTGATCCAGGACTTTCCACCCCTGAGAGAAAAACATCACCATATAATGTTGCCCTCTGCCCCACTTTAAAAATTGGGAAGTAAAACTATATAAAAGAAACAGCCCCACTGTACCCCGGGCTTGGCCTTTGTGATACGAGTCCGCTGGGCTGGTGCCAGCATCAATAAACTCCGCTTCCTGCCTCAAGCCTCAGTATCCTGCCTCTCCTTGAAAGTTCTCTATAACACATAGTAACAGAAGAGCACAGCAGCCACTGCAAGGCCCACCCTAGCAGCTCTCACCCTGTAGCTGTCCCCAGGAGAACAGCCAATAGCAGGGAAGCAGCTCCTCAGAGTGGGGCTTCTCCTCAAAGTCCAGTTGAAACGTCAAGAAGAATAGGGAGTAAAACTTCCAGTACCAGACCATAATAGCTGGAACTTCATTTCGGTTCTTCGCTGAGGTCTAACCCCTTAAAGATTTTATATGAATGGGGCAAACACATGAGAAGTTAGATTCCATCAGGCTCTTTTTTCTCCACTACTTTTCCACAACCCTGGAGGGTGGTCATCTATGGTTGTCAGTCTGATGCTCATGGACTCATGGACACACATGGTTCTGAGCATAACTCACCTGACCTGGTACTTTACTCCCTGAAATGTTCCATTGGTCCCTACGTAGCCAAGATGAACCAGGGGGAAAAAAGAACACTCTAAAAAAGAACAAATGAGTCAGTCTGAACCAGACCTTCCATCTTCTGACACTCTGGTGTCCTTTTATGATCATCTCACTAAGTCCACACCTAACATTTGCTTCTCAGACTCCACTTACCAGATATCAAATGGGGAAGCAGACCACTCACTAGTCCCTCCTGACCAGCTAGGGTAGGACCTTCAGTGTGGAATCATTCACCTAACCAGGGAGGAAGTGGGGTAAAGAAGAAGAAAAGGCACAGGTTCAGGGTCAAACAGACCTAAATGCACTCTGCCACCTTGTGACCTTAGGTAATTGACTACTCTGAACCTCAATTTCATCATTTGTAACATGAGGACAATAACACCTATTTCAGAGTCAGCCTGTGTGGCATATAGTCAACAGCACATTGTAGTTCCTTCACCTTCCCTTCCTTCTCACCTGAATCACACACAAAGTATCATGGCCAGTAGAAAGCAATGTATAGAATTATACATGATTTATACATGATTTTATATATAAATATATATATACACATACATACATATATATGTGTATGTATGTATGTATCTTCCTTCAAGAAATGTGTAGTATAAGCTAAATAACAGTAACACACACAGACACACAAAAAAATGTTTTAAAACCAGCCATTCATGAAAAGAGCCATATCCAAAAGACACTATTACGTTAATTGAATCGGCCAAATGCTGTAATAAAAACGCATTAGATACATTAGTGTGGAAAAGATAGTGGTGTATTATTTTAGTTCTTTGCTCATATAATATGAAAATAGAAAAATCACTGGAAGATATTTGGGAGGTGCCTTCATAGGTCTAGAATTGCCCTAAGTATTCAGAGTGAGCAATTTTTCCATTTCCCAAGGCAAAAAAATCAGTGAGTGTTGACGACTTCTAGTAACATTTTCACAGAGTAGATACCACAAGGCATGAAATAAATAACCAGCTTCCCCTCAGTATCAAGTGGGAGGAGAAAGGAAGCGTTTATGAAGGAGCCAAAGATGCTGGGACACCTTGTAGAGATGAAACAGAAAAGGGTTACACTTTATACTCAACTCACTGCAATAGTGATCTCATGTGGTGACTATACTTGGACAGAAGAAAGATGTGATGAAAGTGGAATTAGTTTAGTCAGGCCCTCTCTCCTCATATGATTCAGCACATCTGTTGTAAACATGTCACATAGGAGTAGAGTTACTGAGCATGCACGCCCGTGTACACCTTTTGTTCACTGCCGTTGGTGTGTGTACACTTTAGGTATGGAAGGCAGCAGCTCTGAACTGCTGGTCAGCAGAGTTCATGTCTAAAAATAACTCATGTCCACTCTGCAGGCAGCTGCCTGGTTTTTCTTTCACTTACCTGACTCAGGACCTGCACAGGATGGGGTAGAAGTGTCTGTGATCCAGCCCGACAATTGGCGTGGTTGTGGGCAGGATTCTGAGCAGGTAAGGGAGCCACTAGCCCCTCGGGAGGGGGAGGAAATGTGGCTACCCTCGAATGTGTGGTATCAGGCAGTCACTTTCCTGTTGACTGGGGTCTGGCTGTTGCTCACTGTACTACAAGTCAACATGGACCAGGCACTCCATGAAGCAACATGGCTTCGAGATTTGCAGCAGAAGGCAGACTTGTTGGAAGTGTGGGTACTTGCTCTGGAGGCTGAAGTACAGCAACAGGTCACTCCTGCTTCCAACATGGGGGATGATGACAAACCCGATGGTGAGTTGGAGGAGACTGTGCATCCCCTGGCACAGCATGTTGTGCATCAGAAACTGAAGCATGAACAGCCCACAGGACAAGACAGACAATAAGTAGGCCATCCACAAGTGACCCAATTTAGTACGTATGTCCCCTACACTCAAGCAGATTTGGTGGACTTAGGTAAACAGTTCCAGCAGGAACAGGATGAACCCCTAGCTGCTCGGCTTTTGCAGCTGTGGGACCTGGGGGTGGATTGCGTCATGTGCTCTGGTGAAGAGATGGAAAAACTGGCATCAGTCACCACACATCCGTCCCTGAGGCAGAGGTTACATACAGAACAGCTACAGATACACACAGGGACAAGGCAACCACTCCTTGATGCAATGGGTGAATGCAGCTGTCAGGACCATGTGGATGAGCACCAGAGAACTGTCCAAAACCACGAGTAAATGGCAAATGTATGCTGAGCTGGTCTGAGTGATTCAGGAGCGTGGATGAGACAATCCATGTTTAATGTTAAAACCCATGACCCAGATGATGAATGCTTTACAAGCAGCATGAGGGACATAGTGCTGCAAAATGCTCCATCGACGTCCTTTGGGTCGTTGGTGGCTATATTGGCCCCATACGTTGGTTGTCCCGTACATGAAGTGACGACCGTGATGGCCAGTCTGGGTGAAGCAGAGTGGAGGAGACAAGCAAAAGGGGTCTGAAAGGTGGCTAAGACTAAACCCCCAAGAAATGCTCAGGATTTTACCCTGAATGGACTGAGCAAGACCAGCTGTATACTGATATGGTTTGACTTGCTTATAGCAGGAGTTGATAGGGAAAAAATTGACCAGCAACCAAATGTGATCTTGTTTGCCTTGTGGCAACAATTGTGCCCTGAACAGCGTTTCACTAAGTGTCCAGAAACAGGTGGCAAAGTGTACCCAGTATATTTGATGGACTTTATGGCTACTTCTGTGGAGGCAGATGGACTGCTCTCTTTTGGCTAGGGACCAGGCGAGGTACTCATTTTTGCGGGACAGACAAGGACCGGAGGCCTCACGTTGAACTAGTAATACTTTGGTCAGGGATGGCAAATGTACAGTGTGTGTTAGTATTGGTGGATGCCCGTGCAGACTGTAGCTTGATCCATGGCAACCCAGATAAGTTTCTAGAGGCCACAGTGAATGTTGATGGTTATGAAGGACATTCTATTA